CAATAAGCCCCATAATGTCAGAGACAGGCGGCGTTATACGTTGGAATAGGCAAACATAATCCTGTTCTAGTTCCCACTCTCAGTTGGCGAGAAAAGATAGATCTGGCTGAATGGCATCGATCTCTGTAAGGTCCCAGTTGTGTGCCCGCTCCGCTCGGATGGACCAGAAGTGAGCAATGTCTCCGAACCAGAGACTAGTTTCAATAGTATCCCACAACAAACCAGGGCCATCGTAGTCTTCCCCCTCAATACACTTGTACTCAATCAGCCATGGGTAGAGGTGGTAAACATGCCACCGCAGGGCCCGATAGGAATCATCCAGCCACACCTCAGTCTCAACTAGCGTCTCCAGTTCGCTTACCCATTCCTCTGAGGGCTGGTTTCCAAATAACGGCATCCGCAGCTCTAGTTGTTCTGCTTGGCGCTGGTTAGTGGTCAGGATTTCCTCGCACTGGAAGGGTCGAATTTCGTCGATGTCCTCCTTCCAGAGATCGGTACGAAGCGCCACCCTCCACTCTGTCTCTCTTTCCTCTGGGATAGGATACTCCATATTGCGCATCACATCCTGTAGTCGCTGCTGGAGCCTGGCGTCAAAGTGAGATACTGCACGGCCTTCCATCTCTGAAGTAGTGCTGGTTTTCCCAAATCTTTATGTAGACAGGGACGCTGTATGAACACTAGCGTCACCTTCAATTTGTAAATCCACGAACTGTGTCTCTGAGCTGCTTTACCTCGCACTAGGACGCCATCCCACCGCTTGCCACCAATGTAACGGACCACCTGGCACCCCGACTGGGTACCTCCGTTGAAAGATGCTCCTAGCGCTTCCTGAGGACTCCAAGCACTGCAGCAGACACCACAATCACCGAACCAGAGAAGCGTATACCTTCTCTCAAGCCTATGAATGCTGTAGACAGTTGAATAGGAACCATACGAATAGGTTTACTCTCCTAGCAGTCAAACTGGAACAGCATACAATGAATCCTTCCCCCAATAATGAGACGACACTTCACTTTGAGGGTTAAGCAGGAACTCAGGTGCTGGCACACCCAGCCTGGTTTTTATTACAGCCTTTCACATACAGGACCGCCCACAGGGAGGTATAAAACAACCAATCACATATTAGTTACATCCCACATATTCCCTCCCCTTATCCTGAGAGAAAACTCAATTACACATACAGTTAAAACATACTTTCTACCCAACTTTCATAACTTTAAAACCATACATCACATTCACATAAAATTACATATTCACAATCAATCCATTCAGGGGAACAACATATTCAAAATGGCACAAATCAGACAAGGGGTTCAAAAGTTAGTAAAAAGTCCTTTGTGACTAAATGAAGCATGGCTTTCTGGCCTAAACCAGTTTCAGAGTCTTCTATCCTGGAGATAAGTAATTCAATTATCTCCCAGGACAGACACAAGACTCCATTAAGCACATGGTTGCAAAAAGACACAAAACACTTTAAAATACATAAAGTCACATTTTACACATAACACACAGACATTTCACATATCCCCAGATAGTTGGGATCTGAGTGCACATTATTAGATGAATGGCACTCAGATCACACAAATAAGCCTTTCTGCAGGGGAAATAAACGGTTTAACCTGCAGGGCCATAGTCCAAAGGGAGCAGGCGAGCAACCAGGCTTCTCCAGTTCACAGTGGCGAGGTTGGTTTCGCCACAGTCATCTTTAAATCATTAACTCACACATATGGAATCTTTCACAGAGTTTTTTTTAAGTATTTGCAAATTAGACATGACCTTCATTCTATAGCAGCCATTTATGGGTAAAGCTACTCTTTTGATTCCTCTAGAATGCACAATTAAAAAATGTCCAAATATTGGGTAACAAATGCCCAAATATTGGGTAACAAATGTCCAAACATTGGGGGGGGGGGCGCTTGACCTCCGAACTTTACAGATGTGTTGCGAGAGCTCCTCATTAAAGTTTGGTAACTAAGCTAATCCTGGGCCAATAATCATGTTGCCCGATGGCATTTTGGCTCCTGTGGCCCCCTAATAGTGCCTAGGAGTACCTGCTTAGAGTGATCCCACTGCCTGCGGCTGGAAATCACTGACACTGCTGCCTGGTGCGGCCCTGACCGGGAGTGGCGACTGAACTCATCGGCAGAGCTGCGCCGTCTGTATAAACAGCAAGCCCTGTATCCCCCCCCCCCCTCTGGGCCAGTGGGGGTTATCCCAGTTTCTGCCACTACAACCTCCGATACTCCTGAGTTACATACCTGCACCAAAACCTGACCACAGCTGTAGTCAATACATGTGAATCGGCAAGATGGCGGTTCGCCTACACCTACACTGCTAGCTACCACGCAGCACCAGGAGGCTCTGCAAGGCTCAACAGAGTGATTTCTGCAACGACTAGATGCACACTCCTCCCCGATTCTGGTTAGAGCTGGAGAACCGCATAGCAACAATCTCGAAGCAGCCCAGTGAGGGAGACTTGGGGAGCGAGCGCCGGGAGGATCTCCTTTGGGAAAAGTTCGGCCTACAACACAAGTCTACTATAACGCTACCCCACCTTGGCCAAGGGCCAACAGAGGCATGGCCCCAGCACTTCGCCCACACAGACAGAGGGCTGGCAGTGCAAGATCATCAAGGCCTCCTGTCTCTCCTGACATGGGAAGGACCTGGTCTCTTGGAGCCTCTGAGTCCGTGGTACAAAGATGCTGGCCCCCATAAATACCTGGGGCTGGAATGATGCTACACTTCACTTCGATGGTGTTGCTGTCCTTACCAACTTCCACACAATGACTGTGCATATCCTTAGTATGGGAATCGGCTGACAACTGCCAAACAACTTAAGGCAGCTCTACCACTCAAGATGAGAGTCCCCTACTGTATGTGGACACCTTCCTGCCGTGGTTGACCTATTTGGCCATATTATGTTGAAAGAACCTGTATTTTTCTTATTTGCTTTTTATTTTCTCTTCTGTAGCCCTCTAAGTGGCTCTCCTATCTCTGGTGACGCAGAGTTTACATAATGAGACGGGCATCGGTGACCTTAAAGATGCCAATAAAAACCTGCTATCAATTTAACTCTTGTGAGTTCAATACATTCTCCATTTCTGCTTGTAGCCTACAATATTACACTATTGTGTTCTATTTTTTTCTATTCTAGATTGTATTTTTATATATATTCCACTTCATATTAAGGGCACAGTAGCCTGTACTATGCATGACATCTTTACCTCTTCCTCATGCTACTCACTCAGCATCTGAGAGAAACTGGTTATTAACACTCATGTATCTAAGTTTAGCACTTATTCCTTTCACTTGTTTTATTTTAAACTACGTCCAACCAAGCAGCCAGTCTATACAACGTGTTTTTTTTTAATATTCAGGTGCTCTATCTACTGACGATCCTAAAATCAGCATGCCTATTCTAATTTAAAAAGTGCAGCTTTTCTCCTATGCCTCGATGCTGTATGTTTGTATTGCATTTATCAGCCTTTGCCTAATATGTATAACAAGCTTAGACAAACGCTATACCGTTGCTGCAATTAAATACTTAAAGGATCACTCTAGGCACCTAGATCACTTCAGCTTAATGAAGTGGTCTGGGTGCCAGGTCCTTCTAGGGTTAACCTCAGAGAAACTGCTATGTTTATTAACGGGTTAAGCCTTCCCCCAAAGCCTCTAGTGGCTGTCTCATTGACAGCCACTAGAGGCGCTTGCGTGCTTCTCACTGTGATTTTCACAGTGAGAGCACCCCAAGGTCCATAGGAAAGCATTGTAAATGCTTTTCAATGCGACCGGCTGAATGCGTGTGCAGCTCTTGCCGCGCGTGCGCATTCAGCCGACGGTGCGGAACGGAGGAGGAGAGAAGGAGGAGAGCTCTCCGCCCAACGCTGGAAAAAGGTAAGTTTTTACCCCTTTCCCCCTTCCAGAGCCGGGAGTATGTTTTCCTGGCACTATAGTGGTCCTTTAAACTAATTACTCAGCAACATAAAAAATAACAAATATCCAAACATTACATTTTTAATCTCCGTTTGTATAGCACTGTATTGAACTCGGTTTATAATATATTCCTGACCTATAGCATAATTCCAAGCATTATTATGCTATAATTATAACACCCACTAGATGCAGCATGCACTATGAACTCCTTAGGAATATCCTCCTTCGATGGGATAAGAAACCCCATTGATTATCCAGTAAATTTCAGGTTTCTTATGTAATTGAGGATCTATGCGGTTATCTTGTATATAGGGGAACATTTATGTTGTGTAGAAGTTATTTGTGTTGGTCTTGAAAGAAAGACTGAGACTGGAAGAGGGAGTAATGAGAACAGAATATAATTCTGAAGTGCATTTCCATGAATGTTCAGGGGCTGAATAACCCATTTAAAAGGAAACTTTTGTATGAGCTATTCAGAAAGGGGCAAATAGATATAGCTATGAGACAAGAGACTCGTTGGAAAAGGGAAGAGAAAACCAGATGGAGATACAAGCTATATCAAGAAGTTATACAGGCATCTCTAGTGGGGGGAAAGAAAAAAAGGAGTTGCAATTATTTTTTTGAAGTGGCTCAATAAAGAGATATTGTACACAGAGGTGGATAACGAAGGAAGATACCAAATTTTAATATGTAGGGTAGACTCTCTATTTGCCAAATATGTTACCAACAAAGTATTTAAAAAAGGTAATGGATAAAGTTGAAAAAGTTAAAATGGGAATTTTGGTTATTACAGGGGATTTTAACTGTGTACCGGACACAGTATTAAATAAAAAGACCAAAGATAATTGTAAAATAAATAAACAAATAAAGAAACAATCTAAACATATTAGGAAATATTATGAAAGAAAACAATTTGTTGGATATATGGTGAGTCTATCATACAATGGAAAATGAATTCACACATTTGTCCAGAGTACATCATTCTCTATCTAGAATTGATCTGGTCTTGAGAGAGAATAGTTTGGTAGACCAAATCCAAAAAAATTACAATAAAGGAGAACCCATGGGCTGATCATAGCTATAATTTGTTTGTTTTAAAAGATATAAAAAAAACATAAATCGTTTGGCATCTGGATGATAGTATCCTTTCTAGAGTGGAAAATCAAGACCACATCAAAATTGTTATAGAATTATACTTTATGGAAAATAATACTGAAGGTATAATCAAACTTAAAAGTAGAATAAATAAAGAAAAAGGTGCTTCTAGGGAAGAGCTACGTATAGAATGTTACAAATTATACAAAGAATGTTTAACCAATGATACGATAAATCAACTTAGTGGACTAAAAGCGAAAATTAACGCAATAGAAACTGAACGAATTAACAAAAATTTGGAAAGTGAATTACTATCATGATAATAATAAAATAATGAAATGGTTAACAAAGAAGTTGAGAAGGAAAGTAGGGAACAATAGGATAACTTGTATTAAAAAAGATCAAAGAAAGTATAGGACTCCAGAAAGCATAGCAAAAATCTTTCAGAGATACTATGAAGAGTTATATAATATACCGAAGCAACCTGAGGGACAGCAGATATCTAACTATTTAAAGGATATAGAAATTTCTAGAATAACACAAGAACAAAATAAAATCTTAAACGCTCCTCTAACTATATCAGAATTTAAACAGGCTATTGAAATCTGACTGACAGATTGGTTTTCAAGGATATACTGTGGGAACACTTAGTCAGTACTTTTAATGAGATTGTTGATAGGGGTTCTGGACCAAAGGAAATACTATTTGCAAACATTTGACCGATTCTTAA